ATGGCAGAAACATCTCATTATTATTGATATTTGAAATCTTCAGAGTGTATCCATATTTTGCATCGACCAGATGAACAGTCCTTAAGTAAGTAAGTAAGTTTATTCAGGTATACACAAATACAGTTACATAGAATTATCATACATAGCAGCATATGTGTAGAGAACCTAGGATAACCCAAAAAAGTCAGACAGAGTGACTTATTTCCATTGGGGTCCTTATAGAGATTGAAACCCAGCTATGACCATTTATTTATTTTTAGTGCTAATAACATTCCTTACTGTACTATATGCAACAACTAAATGAAGTAATTGTAAAATATGAAATGACTAATATTCCTTTCTTGTGAAGTAGCAATGCTCAGTGAGGTTTGACAAAGACTGTTGTGACCTCTGTAATCCTGTTTTTTGTGCAACCATTCACAGTATGAGTATGGGGTGTATAATAAATTACCTGCTCTGGCCATACAGCTTAAAAGAAAGTTTCCATTGGAAAAAATGGCTGACTTCCATGGTAGATGCTCCAACTTCCAACTTCTGCACCATCCTTATGAAGTTCTAGGCAATCCTGTTGATTTTCATTTGACCCTGAAGGGAAATCAGCTATTCTTTATGTCTGAACATTTGTTTTTCTTCTCCAATCACAACAACTATGTTCATATGCAAGGTTTAAATAATTACCAAAACAAACCTTAAAGGCCTTAAGACTATCGTGAAACAATAATGGAGGAGGATTAGACTAACACAAAATTCAGCATCCCTTGTTAAATAGTCTGTGGACCATTAGTCAGCCAGTTGTTCCAAGACTTTGAGGGAGTTGACACAGACCAGAAATCATATTTTTTTCATTGTGATGAGGTAAAACAGCAGCAAACTAACTTCCTCACTGATGTCCAAAACCTTGTCATTTGAAGATGGAGAAATCCTGTCCAAGAAAATGGAGACCTACTGAAAAAAGGACATGAGCAGTATGAAAGCTTTGTGAAAGATGTCCTCAATGAGAGAAAGAAATCATTTGAATACCTCATTACAAAGAACTCCCTCTATTTTTAAACTATAAACAGTAAGGCTAGGCTAGGTCTTTGCCCAAATGTACATTGTAATAAATACACATGAAGATGACCTTGACTTTCTTCTCCCATGAGGTTTAAGCATTTTTTCTCCATCCATAGCAGAGTGAAGATGTGATGCATTATTCAAAGAAATCAGATAGCATGAGTACTCACCTAGTTGAGGTTGCAGGGGTCGAGTCCAAGCTCCTGGCCCCGAGTGTTTTGAAGAAGACATTAATAATTCACTAATCCACATGCTGGTTCCCAGAGGTGGAGTTTCAACTTTCAAAAATGATAAAAATGCTTGTTTTAAAAACATATTCAAATGGAGCTTAGGAGGGTCTCCTCTCTCCATACTGTTTGGGACACCTACAGGCAAGAACACATCAATGTTGGCATCAGATCATTACTAGGAACAGGAGTGCTTTAAAAAAGTTAACCTGATGGTGAAGATGCCAGGAAAATGGTCTGAATTCCTCAAAGACAGCAAAAATAAAGTAGGGCAGTTTCAATACCTTGGAGAAGATCCAATCAAGACCCAGAGCTCTCCAGTGATCTATAAATCTCCAGTCCCAATGAAAAAAAGTCTAGCAAGAGGGACAAGGCCAAAACATGGATGGAGAATTTTCCCAAGAAGAAACTGTCACATGACTCATTCTGCACAATTTTCAAGTTCGAAGGACAGGGTCATTCAAATATATTAGTGAAGATCTCCAACACATGTTGTGATCATTCCTCTCTTTGAAGCCACATCTGTTACCAGCTGCATATCTTGCAGTTAACTGTTCTTGTGGTTAATATAAAAAATATTCAGAGAATCTAGAAGTACAGTGGTATCACGGGATACGAACAGCTGAAAACTGGAACAATTATGTAAGTGTATTTACGTAAGTGTGTTTATGTAAGTGCTTTTGTAAGTGTATTTTTGGGAGTTTGAAATGGATTAATCTAATTTACATTATTCCTTATGGGAACAAATTCGTTCGGTATCAGCACTCGAACAGCCTTCTGGAACAAAATAAGTTTGTATCCCGAGGTATCACTGTATATACATTTAGGCATTCCACAGTCAATAATAAAATTAATTTGGACACTGAAGAGCTTGAGAAGTAAAGCCGGTGGAAGATACATCTCGTTGTGAAGTTTCTGTCACATTCACATATTTAGTGTCTGTTTACCTGGAGTTTACCTGGAGAGAGTTCCGAGGGTCAACACCCCCGCGGCCCGGTCTGTGACCAGGCCTCCTGGTGGATCAGAGCCTGATCAACCAGGCTGTTGCTGCTGGCTGCACGCAAACCAACGTACGAGCCACAGCCCGGCTGATCAGGAACTGAGTTTAGGTGCTTGTCCAGTGCCAGCTTGAAGACTGCCAGGGGTCTGTTGGTAATCCCCCTTATGTGTGCTGGGAGGCAGTTGAACAGTCTCGGGCCCCTGACACTTATTGTATGGTCTCTTAACGTGCTAGTGACACCCCTGCTTTTCATTGGGGGGATGGTGCATCGTCTGCCAAGTCTTTTGCTTTCGTAGTGAGTGATTTTCGTGTGCAAGTTCGGTACTAGTCCCTCTAGGATTTTCCAGGTGTATATAATCATGTATCTCTCCCTCCTGCGTTCCAGGGAATACAGGTTTAGGAACCTCAAGCGCTCCCAGTAATTGAGGTGTTTTATCTCCGTTATGCGCGCCGTGAAAGTTCTCTGTACATTTTCTAGGTCGGCAATTTCACCTGCCTTGAAAGGTGCTGTTAGTGTGCAGCAATATTCCAGCCTAGATAGAACAAGTGACCTGAAGAGTGTCATCATGGGCTTGGCCTCCCTAGTTTTGAAGGTTCTCATTATCCATCCTGTCATTTTTCTAACAGATGCGATTGATACAATGTTATGGTCCTTGAAGGTGAGATCCTCCGACATAATCACTCCCAGGTCTTTGACGTTGGTGTTTCGCTCTATTTTGTGGCCAGAATTTGTTTTGTACTCTGATGAAGATTTAATTTCCTCATGTTTACCATATCTGAGTAATTGAAATTTCTCATCGTTGAACTTCATATTGTTTTCTGCAGCCCACTGAAAGATTTGGTTGATGTCCGCCTGGAGCCTTGCAGTGTCTGCAATGGAAGACACTGTCATGCAGATTCGGGTGTCATCTGCAAAGGAAGACACGGTGCTATGGCTGACATCCTTGTCTATGTCGGATATGAGGATGAGGAACAAGATGGGAGCGAGTACTGTGCCTTGTGGAACAGAGCTTTTCACCGTAGCTGCCTCGGACTTTACTCTGTTGACGACTACTCTCTGTGTTCTGTTAGTGAGGAAATTATAGATCCATCGACCGACTTTTCCTGTTATTCCTTTAGCACGTATTTTGTGCACTATTACGCCATGGTCACACTTGTCGAAGGCTTTTGCAAAGTCTGTATATATTACATCTGCATTCTTTTTGTCTTCTAGTGCATTTAGGACCTTGTCGTAGTGATCCAATAGTTGAGACAGACAGGAGCGACCTGTTCTAAACCCATGTTGCCCTGGGTTGTGTAACTGATGGGTTTCTAGATGGGTGGTGATCTTGCTTCTTAGGACCCTTTCAAAGATTTTTATGATATGGGATGTTAGTGCTATTGGTCTGTAGTTCTTTGCTGTTGCTTTACTGCCCCCTTTGTGGAGTGGGGCTATGTCTGTTGTTTTTAGTAACTGTGGGACGACCCCTGTGTCCATGCTCCCTCTCCATAGGATGGAAAAGGCTCGTGATAGGGGCTTCTTGCAGTTCTTGATGAACACAGAGTTCCATGAGTCTGGCCCTGGGGCAGAGTGCATGGGCATGTCATTTATCACCTGTTCGAAGTCATTTGGCATCAGGATAACATCGGATAGGCTTGTGTTAATCAAATTTTGTGGCTCTCATAAAAAATTCATTTTGATCTTCGACTCTCAGTCTGGTTAGCGGCTTGCTAAAAACTGAGTCATATTGGGACTTGAGTAGCTCACTCATTTCCTTGCTGTCATCTGTGTAGGACCCATCTGTGGTTCAGTCCCAGCATGGGTAAAAATGTTGGTCATGTTTCTCTACATCTGCTGTCCCTGTTCATCTGGCAGCAAGTAGGTACTTGCATGTTACCCGACTGCTGTGGGTCACATCCTGAGGGACAAGATTAAAAAAGACACTAGAGATAAGATTTTGTTTGGATTTTTAACCCTGGAGGGTTAGCCACCCAGGATAACCCAAAAAAGGCAGTGTATCATCAAGAGACTGTCTGTCTTATTTCCACTGGGGTCCTCAATCTTGTACCCCAGGATGCAACCCACACCAGTTGACTAATACCCAGGTACCTACTTGCTAGGTGAACAGGACAACAGGTGTAAGGAAACACGTCAAAATGTTTCCATCCTGCTGGGAATCTAACCCGGGCCCTCTGTGTGTGAAGCAGCCAGCCAGGCCACTGGGACCCCAATGGAAATATTAGTCACCAATGAAACACTGACTTTCCTGCAGTTATCCTGGGTTCCTAACCCTTTGGGTTAAAAATCTAGAGAAATCTTAATTCATTATGAACATCAGGGACATTAATGAAACAATATCACCATATTGTTTCACAAGTCTTCTAGAACTTGAAAAATCTGCCACTATAAGCCAACCATCAGATGTATCAAGCTCAAATAAGGGATTAATAATAAAATGGCCCATTCTGTATTCCAACTGATGTGAGATACAGATGTGCATCTCCAAGGAACACACTAGTCTTCTACTAACCATATGTTTTATTTATTTACAAATGGAACTAGCAAGAACTATGGGTCTATAATGAGAGGGATCACAATTAAAACTAAACTTCCAAAAATCTGTCAACCTAAGAAATGTTAATTGGTTTAGTATTGTAAGCAAAAATTTTATATAATAAAAATACATTTTACATTTAAAGATTTTTTTACCCAATGTATCAGGGAATTTTAGAGATAGGCAGTAAATGGTACCATTTTATTACACTATTGTTACATTTAATACAGCATGAAATATCAGTTTTGTACTGACAGGAAAAATAGGAACATGTAGACAAGCATTACCTGGTACCTGAGTTAGTACTGATGATTGAGTAAAATACAATCTATAGCAACAGTGGATCTTGATTATTATATTCATAAAAATGCATCAACCCATGTGGGTCAAAGCATGGCAACAATAGGACCTATCAAAATCTGATGCAATATGTACAAATTCTAAATTTAAACCTCTAAATCAGTAGTGCAGAAGTAGAATTCCTGAAATACATCAGGTCATACATTAATTCATGCCTCTTGAATTCCTTATCACTGTTAAACAAGATCTAGATATGTTTCTTAATTTTGAGAAGAGGATTAATAGAGGCATTAAATTGATCACCCATCAGTTCAATGACATATAGTCCAGACTTCAAGTACAGTAAACCCTCAACATACCGGACTAATTGGGGGACTGTCCATTAAATGAGACTACTGTTAAAAACAGCAAAACAAAAAAGCACTAAAGTGCTTTACCATATACCAAATATTGTACTGAACAAACATATACAGATATATACAGCAATAAACACTGAAAGTAAAGGCATTAAACATGCTATTTACCAGGTGGATTTTATCCATTGTTTTAAAAGTCTGTTAAGCTGAGGGTTCACTACTAGATCGGGTCAAGTGAAATCTAACTCGATACACTGCACTAACTCCATTAATATATACAATATTGCATTTTCCTAAAAAAAAACGAAGATGACTGGAATAGTAGTAAATGTAATAGGCTAAAAACCCAATGGCTTATAAGATTGGTTCTCACCATGTTGTCTGTTTCTAGTTTTATTTTCAGTTTGTGAGAAACCAACAGTCACAAGAATACCTATACAAGTAATATACCTGCAACTCATTCTAATCCTCTCACTGTCCAAAACATATTAATGCTCACTAACCACAATAAAAAAAATGGTAGAGAATCTATTTCTGAAGACAATGACATCAAGAATACAAAATTTGGTGGAAAACTCATGGAATTCCACAGGTGCAAAGTTAATAGTATGGACACAATTTATGCTTCAACAATTTCACCGATTATGAGTCCTATTTTAAGCCAATTCCACTGCTCAATTTGACCAAATTCTTTTAGCTATTTTGCTGGTATAAACCTTGGTAATAAATACCGACAAGTTGGTTTAGAAAGACACGTAAGCAAACACTATAACATATTTATTAGAAAATGTTTCGGTCCTGGGACCTTGATCACTTCTAACATACAGAGGCAGAAAGACATTATATATATAGGCGGAGAGTGAGATGTGACGCACGTAACCTGAGGAATGTCATAAGAACACAAGAATGGAGGAACACTGTAGAAGGCCTACTGGCCCATGCGAGGCAGGTCCTTATCAAAACAACCTCTGCCTATGATGAGGACGGGTAGACGATGAAATCATGTGACTCCTGTGTTGTTGGGTTGGTGCTGCTTAAGTATCATGTATGCCAATGTCATCGATGTAAGGTACGCCTGTGTCCTCCACAGAGACTCTACGGGGCATTTGATGAACTGGAACGAGGCACAACTCGTTCTCACCGAACCAGACCTCAGATGCCGACGGTGCCTAGAAGCCTCACTAATCACCGTCACCGACACTATAGAACGCAACACTGGAAACTACAAAATTTCAAAAACATTGGCATACATGATACTTAAGCAGCACCAACCCAACAACACAGGAGTCACATGATTTCATCGTCTACCCGTCCTCATCATAGGCAGAGGTTGTTTTGATAAGGACCTGCCTCGCATGGGCCAGTAGGCCTTCTACAGTGTTCCTCCATTCTTGTGTTCTTATGACATTCCTCAGGTCACGTGCGTCACATCTCACTCTCCGCCTATATATATAATGTCTTTCTGCCTCTGTATGTTAGAAGTGATCAAGGTCCCAGGACCGAAACGTTTTCTAATAAATATGTTATAGTGTTTGCTTACGTGTCTTTCTAAACCAGCTATTTTGCTATGCCTTCTGTTCTACTGACTGAGCACAAGAAACTGCCCATTTAACTATCAAAACTATACTATAAACTGCACAGAATTTGACTATTTGGCAAAAAAAAAAAAACTGTTGTCATTCCAGGCACTAAAACAACAATTCCTCTGTTCATTAATTGCATCCTAAGGTCTCTCCTATATTGCACTTGCCTTCCACTTTGAATTCATCACAAAAAAATAGATTTTCCCCCATTTGTCAAACACAACATAACCAGGAATGATTGGTCATGGCTTATGACATCCAAATAATTGAATAAGACATAGTAAAAGCCCAAGCAACACACCAGGGAGTGTACGGGAGCTTTACCCACTCTCCAGAAAATCAGCAAAACTAATATTTCTGCTACTTTGAGGCAGACTTCAAGCTATTTCCAGTTCTGGAACCAATCAATATCATTCTATTTCAGCAGCATGTCTTCCATTCTATTAAATTATACCAAGAAACAGATAATAAAACCATCTTAGAAAACACCTCAAACACAAGGTCAGAATTTTGCTTTTCCTATCATGCATCACATAAGGCTGGAATTTTTTCTATACTGTACACACACCACAGACCCTTTCTCTCATATCTAGGCCAAAATTTACCGCTCACAACTTATCTGATTGAGCTGAGCTCATGACATACGTCTACATGACGGACCTTGGTGTCAATAATGTAAATCTACGTGACAGACCTTGGTGTCAATAATGTAAATCTACATGACAGACCTTGGTGTCAATAATGTAAATCTACGTGACAGACCTTGGTGTCAATGATGTAAATCTACATGACAGACCTTGGTGTCAATAATGTAGATCTACATGACAGACCTTGGTGTCAATAATGTAAATCTACATGACAGACCTTGGTGTCAATAATGTAAATCTACGTGACAGACAGTAAAAGGGTTAAAGGTATTTTCTACCCTGCCAGCCTGGTCTTTCAGCCAGGCTTTCTTGTTGAATGCCTGTTCAGCCAAGTTAGTTGTGAACTGTTGTAGTCATTGTATTGTGAGTTAGTTGTGAATTGTTGTAATTGTGGTATTGTGGGTCCATTGCTGTTAGAGGCCCACTGGCCCACTAGCCTGACTGATTAAGACAGATAAGAGTAGTTTGCATTCTCCCAAATTTGGCTTCAGAAACTAGAACAAAAAGAGGGTAGTTTATTTAAACTACCCTCTTTCTGTTCTGGTTAATATCCTGTGAGTGAGCAATTAGTTTGCTACAGTAGATCATTATACTATTACACGGTAGCTAGGTTCCTGAAAATGCTGTGTTAGGTAAATCTGTATTAGATAAACTGAAGAACTTATAGGAAAAATAAGGTTACATTCTTGAGATCCCAAAAAAAGTCAAACAACTTTTGTTTTTTAGACATCCAAATCTTACAAAAATAGGAATGATAATTTTTTTTTGTTGTTGCTTAAGATTACAAATGCAACAGAAATATTATTATTTTTTTCTTTTTTTTCCAACAAGTCAGCCGTCTCCCACCGAGGCAGGGTGACCCAAAAAAGAAAGAAAATCCCCAAAAAGAAAATACTTTCATCATCATTCAACACTTTCACCACGCTCACACATAATCACTGTTTTTGCAGAGGTGCTCAGAATACAACAGCTTAGAAGCATATACGTATAAAGATACACAACATATCCCTCCAAACTGCCAATATCCCAAACCCCTCCTTTAAAGTGCAAGCACTGTACTTCCCATTTCCAGGACTCAAGTCTAACTATATGAAAATAACCAGTTTCCCTGAATCCCTTCACTAAATATTACCCTGCTCACACTCCAACAGATCGTCAGGTCCCAAGTACCATTCGTCTCCATTCACTCCTATCTAACACGCTCACTCACACTTGCTGGAAGTCCAAGCCCCTTGCCCACAAAACCTCCTTTACCCCCTCTCTCCAACCCTTTCGAGGATGACCCCTACCTCGCCTTCCTTCCCCTATAGATTTATATGCTTTCCATGTCATTCTACTTTGATCCATTCTCTCTAAATGACCAAACCATCTCAACAACCCCTCTTCTGCCCTCTGACTAATACTTTTATTAACTCCACACCTTTTCCTAATTTCCACACTCCGAATTTTCTGCATAATGTTTACACCACACATTGCCCTTAGACAGGACATCTCCACTGCCTCCAACCGTCTCCTCGCTGCTGCATTTACCACCCAAGCTTCACACCCATATAAGAGTGTTGGTACTACTATACTTTCATACATTCCCTTCTTTGCCTCCATAGATAACGTTTTTTGACTCCACATATACCTCAATGCACCACTCACCTTTTTTCCCTCATCAATTCTATGATTAACCTCATCCTTCATAAATCCATCTGCCGACATGTCAACTCCCAAGTATCTGAAAACATTCACTTCTTCCATACTCCTCCTCCCCAATTTGATATCCAATTTTTCTTTATCTAAATCATTTGATACCTTAAATTGTGATTGCTGGTTTATGTCAGTGATTGTGAAGAGAGTGGAGATACATGGTGTGGCCCTACTGGGCTGAGGTGGATGGTTGTTGGTTGTCAGCAGAAGTGGATGGTTGAGGTTCTGGTACTAAAGTCGATGGTTGTACTGGAGTGTGCATAAATTCTGTAATGGATCTCTGGGCTCTTTTACCCTGCAGTACATTATAAAGCTGACAGTAAGGCATCATTAGCTGCTCTAGACCCCGTTACAGAGCACTGCTTCTAGATATGTTAGGGTCTTCTTCAGTGAAAAAGTCTGCTAGTTTAGCAGCAACATAGAACTGCTCACATAACTGCTGCAATGTTAACTGCTTTTCTGCAGGTTCTTCTCCTTCTATCTGCCTCCCTTGTATCTATGCATCGAGCTCTGCCAACATTTCCTCTGGACTCCTGTCTTCATCATCATTATCTTCTAAGAGCTCATTCACATCTTCATTCATATCTTCAAAACCATCACCTGGTAATCTCCTTGACAGCTGAACAATTTCCTGAACCTGACTCTCAAGCAAGGAAAAACCAGTGAAAGAAGGCCATAACTTTCCCCAGCTTGCATTTAATGTTGATTGAGGCACTTCATTCCATGCACTTCTAGCATAGCTGATGGCATCTGCAATAATAAATTTATTCCAGAAGCTTGGTACTGCCAGGTTGGAATCAGAGTCCATTGATGCAACTAGTTTTTTTTTTATAACTTTTCTTGTGTAGTTACACTTGAATGACTTAACAATTTCTCAATCCAGTGGTTGTATTAAAGATGTTGTATTTGGAGGTAAAAGTACAGCTTTTACATGCGGGGTCACATCCAGCAAAGCTTCTGGATGAGTACGGGAATTATCAAGAATAAAGAGAGCCTTGAATGCAAACTTCTTGCTGTGCAGGTAAAACTTGACTTTGGGAATAAAGTGACGCTTGAACCAGTCAATAAATATTTCCTGTCATCCATGCTGACTGGTTGACCTCCAAATTACTGGTAAGGTGTTCTTATCTATACCTTTCATTGCACGAGGATTCTTAGAGAGGTAAACAGCCATGGGCTTACACTTGAACTCACCTGACGAATTACCACAAAGGAGCAAGGTGAAGCAATCCTTTGCTGCCTTGAAGCCCAGTGCACTTTTCTCTTGCTGACTTATATAAGTTCTTGTTGGCATTTTCTTCCAAAAAACACTTGTCTTGTCAGCATTAAACACTTGATGTGGCTCACAGCCATCCTCAGAAATAATTTCCTGCAATTCAGCAGGGAAATTACTTGCTGCTGTATGATCAGTTGAAGCACTTTCACCAGAAAACTTAATATTATGTAACTTATTATACAACTTAAAGTTGTGGAACCAGCCTGTGCTAAACACACACACTTTTTCAGGCCTTCCTTCCTTATCACACATTGCTGTAAACAACTGTAAGGCTTTTTCCTTAACCGAGATGAAATTAAGAGGTGGACCTTTCTTTGTTTTTTGTTCAGTCCACTCAAGCCATAAGTTTTCCATTTTATTTACTTGTAATCTACGTGTCATTCTTTTCGTGAGATGACATCCTGGGTTATTCATTACACAAGCTCATATATTCACCTCATTCGTTTTAATTGGACGAACTTACGCTTTATTAAGGCCATAGGCTCTCACTACATCCGCCACATGTGAGCCACTCTTAAGCTTGTCTAATACGTATCTCAATTTTCTCGTAACTCCAAGACTTAAACTTTTAAACCTTTTCTTGCCACTTTCAGCAACATTTATATGTCTACTGGGTGCCATGATTGCTTGGTAGATACAAGATATGGCAACTGAAAGATCAAAATACAATCCACAAACACAGCTAGCTCCTAGGAGAGAATGGTTCTACACACATATGAACCGAAGGCTGGAACGAGGGTGGTGGGGGTGGCAGGGGATGGCGGTAGGTCTTCCCCATTGACTTAGTGGTCTAAACCACAGCCAAGCAGTGGCCTGAGTTGGGCAAATATCCTGCGGGCTATATTCCAAATTTTTTCCCCTCCCGCAAACCGAACCGTGTTATTTTACGAAGTGTTGTATAAAACTGTGCAGCAATTTTTCAATAGTGCAATAATCAAAATGCGCCAAATAAATCCATGTAATATAATAGTCTACTGTACATCCCCTAACCCATAAATCTCTAATCTTTTATCTCAGATAGAAAGACTTTAAATATTTTATCATATATATACGTATATAAATTGTATGATAAAGCTTTTTAACACAATACATGTATTGTTCTCTTTCTTTATGAATTCTCATGTTTCATAGCAGTATTACATCAGACACATCATGATGCCAGCTTGTTGGATTTTTATCCATAATTCATCCTCCTATACTTCTTGTTTCCACTATTTTTCTACTCTCATATATGTATTGTGTTATACGTTGCAATCCTTTCTGATATAGCTGTTGTATTGAAAAAATTTTCACATAATGATAATTTTACTTGACAGCTTATATTAATATAATTATAAACTAATTATTTATATCACTTCAACTATAAACTGCTATAAGAGTTATTTCTGTCATTCTCATTATCATCACACTCCTGTCCCTTTGATACTGTTGTATTAACATGATTTTTTTACTTAGAATGATAAATTTTTTCAACTCCTGTTAACCCTTTACTGTCTCCCACATAGGTCTCTATTATTGATGCCAGGAGGCAGGACCAGCACCAGCCCAGGCTAGGAGCCTTACCACACACTCCAACAACCCCAGTCCACATCCACCACCCACACCACCACCACCACCACAACCAGCCACAAATATCAAGCACCCACCACCAAACAGCATCTAGGATTAACAGAAGGGTGCACATTTTATGTGCAATCCAAATCAATTTCACGACACACACACACACAGTGGAATCAAGCCCAACTATACCCTCAGAGCAATGTCACTGAACTTGAACTCTATTTTGATGAACCCCAGATGAAAATTATAGCAAGGGAAACCAACAGACACTGCCAGTATACACTGGCAAAGCTGGTTTCACCATAATCACAACTGCACGAGTAGAAGGACACAACTCTTCATTTCCACAATCATGCTCATGCCACGTGTGTATAAGCACAATATTGCATCATAATCCCTTATATGTACCCTGACATTCAGTGATTTCATACACATCAACAGATTTATCCTGCCATTATGTATGCTACACTTCTCAGACAAGGCCCAAGAGAAGTGATATGTTAAGCAAAATCAGGGGTGTTTTTATGTATCTCAAGCAAAAGTTCACCAAGTTTTTTCATCTCATCTGGAAAAATGCTATTGATGAGTCTTTGATCGTGTTCAAAAGCAGACTGTCGTTCAAGCAGTATATACCAAGCAAGAAGAAATGCTTTGGTATTAAGCTATTTGTTTTGCGTTATTCTTAAAGTGGAATGGAATTAGATCTCATTGTTTACACAGGAATTAAAATATTGAAAATTACCAGGAAGTTATTGGGAATCTCTGGTGATGTGGTGAAAAAAAATGAAGGACCCATATCCTGGTAAAGGTCATACATTAAAGATTGTTAACTGGTACACAAGCTTTTTACTCAGGAATTTCCTGCAGGTGAACATGACAGACATGTGGGTACAGTGCAGGCAACATAAACATGCCCAGGTTCAGTGCTGGCATTGGTACTGGTGAGGTGCAGGTTATATGTTAAGCAAGATCAGGGGTGTTTTTATGTATCTCAAGCAGAAGTTCAACAAGTTTTTTCATCTCATCTGGAATCTTGCTATTGATGAGTCTTTGATCTTGTTCAAAAGCATGATTCTTAAAGTGGAATGGCACTGGATCTCATTGTTTACACAGGAATCAAAACATTGAAAATTACCAGGAAGTTATTGGGAATCTCTGGTGATGTGGTGAAAAAAATGAAGGACTCATATCTTGGTAAAGGCCATACATTATACATGATAACTGGTACACAAGCCCTTTACTCAGGAATTTCCTGCAGTTGAAAATGACAGACATGTGGTACAGTACGGGCAACATAAACATGCCCAGGTTCAGTGCGGGCATTGGTATTAGTGAGCTGCAGGAGGTTCATGACAATATCTTCATGACAATATCATCACGGCATTTTGGTGGTATGACATGTTCTGACATTGTTGCCATTGATCCACCAGCACAAAATGAAAGACATAAGAAAAGTAACTAAACCCATTGTGAAACCAGCTGCTGTTATGGATTACGTGGATTACACCAGCAATGTGTGTCTGGTGGACTAATACAATATGCAGATTGGATATGTTGATGGTGTCCAGAAGAGTTACAACTGGTACATGAAACTCTTCTTCCATCTAGTTGCCACTGCAATGACAAATGCATGCAATATGTACCAGATCAAGACTGGCAACAGATTGCTACATGCCAACTTTTGTCTGTCTATCATCATACAAACAAGAAAGAAATAACGGGTCACAACATATACACCACTGTACTGATCATCAAATACCCTCTTGTTTGAAGTATGGTGATCACTTTCTGAGTGCACTTCTTGCTACAGATAATAAACACCGAGCTCAGCAATTATGTTATGTGTGCACAGACAACAAGGTGCCCAGTAAAGAGCAGGGACATGTGTTCTATATGTAGGGAGTGTAAAATACAGCTGTGAATTGAACCATGTTTTAGGAACTTACACATAAAAGAGTAGTAAAGTAATTGAACATGTGTGTCTATATTGTTTTGTAAAAATATACCACTGACATTACTAGTGTGGGTATTGTGTTGTATATACACCATGACTAGCCTTATGTGCATTTTGCATGATTTGTGTGTCATAGGGCCACAACAGTTATTGAAAAATGTAAATTAGAAAATCCCAGAACAAAAGGGCACTGCCATCACCACTGTTATCATTAACAGGTCAATAACCCTCAAATTCATATCTTGGTAAATACTGATGGAAAAATTCTTGTGGTCTCATGCACTCTTATTTTGAGAAGAATTTTTTTAAAATCATGATGTTTTCAGTACTTTGAATTTTGGGGGTCATTACAATGAGTTAACACCTTGCAATAAATCCCAAAAAACTTTGTAGTCTTAATAGTTAATACTAGTCTAAATTTGCTTGAAATGCTATGTATCCTATGGACTTTATAATTACAGTGGTACCTCAATATTTGAACTTCATCTGTTCCAGGAGGCTGTTCGAATAGTGAGTTATACGAATATTGAATCAATTTTTCCTATAAGAAATAATGTAAATTGGATTAATCTGTTCCAGGCTCCAAAAAATGACCAATTACGAAACATTTTAAGTAAGAATATTGCTTATTTAAACCTGTAAAATAATATTTGCATGCATAAAACCATACATAAAAACTATAAAAACAATAAATACATGAAATAAATGAAAATTTAATGAACTTTACTGAGGAATGCTGATGGCCTAGATGTTGTTTGGAAAGGTTGTCACCTGTTTAGTGTTTTTTCTCTTTTTTGTCTTTGTGCAGTAGTACTTGAAGATGATGGGGATTCACTAACATTTGATTTTTTCTTTGGTAAAGAAGCTGTCCAATGTTGTCTGCTCTTGACGACTTTTCAAAAAAAGTTGTCAATATTGTGGCTAGCTGGTCCAGTGGCTAACGCGACGGTCTGGAGTTTCGAGACTCTCTGACCGCGGGTTCAAATCCTGCCCGTGGTATGGTAAAGTTGTCAATATTTTCAATGAACAAGTTGATGCTCCTATTCACAACAATAATGATGGGATGCCCTTTTTCCACCAGGCTCTGTATTTGAGCCCAGTTCATTAATTTCTGCAGTGGAAATGTTGCCTTACTGCTTCCCTCCTCTGAAGAAATTTCCTCAACCACTTCTTGCTGCTCCTTGAAGTTCTGTGGTGATCTTCTGCTCCTTGAAGTTCTGTAGTGATCTTCTGCTCCAAACCCATGGACTGGCCCAGAGAAACAATATCCTTTAGCACAGGCTCTGCCTCAAAGCCTTTAAAATCTCTGACTGACTGTACATAGTCTGGCTACAATTTCTTCCAGGCAGAGTTCATTGTCCTGAAAGAAACTTACCCCCAGGCTTTGTCTATTATCCTTGAACACTGGAGGATATTAAAATGTTTTTCTCTAAAATTCCCTAAGGGTAAACTCTGTTTCAGAGGTCACTTCAAAGCACTTTTTAAACAGTGCTTTTGTGCAGTTTCTAAAAATTGGAAATTACCTGCTGGTCCATGGGTTGGATAAGTGGTGGTAGTGTTAGAGGGGCAAGAATTTCACTTTAATAAAGCTATATTCATCCACCAAATTTTCCTTCAAGCCTGAAGGGTGAGCAGGAGCATTGTCCATTACCAGAAGTACCCTTAATGGTAAGTTTTTACTGCTAGGCACGTCTTCACACTTGAGGCAAACACTTCATGTATACACTCAGTGAAGAACTGCCTTTGTTACCTAAGCTTTACTATTAGCCCTCCACATTACAGTGACTTTACTTTTTATCACATTATTTATCTTAAAAGCCCTTGGATTTTCAGATTGGTACACTACAATTTAATTTTGCAGTCCCCACTAGCATTATCACACAACAAGAGTGTTAGCCTCTCTTTTATGGGCTTGTGTCCTGGTAATGATTTTTCTTGTGTGATGTAGGTTCTCTAAGGCATTCTTTTCCAAATGAGACCAGTTTCATGACAATTAACCCTTTCAGGGTTGAGAGGCTCTCTCCTAAACTTGTTCTCAGGGTCAAAAATTTTTTGGAAAAAAAATAAAAAATTATTTTTTCTTATGAAATGATAGACAATCTTTTCCCGATCATAATGACATCAAAAGTATGAAATTTGATGGAAAACTTATGGAATTATGCTCTCGCGAAGTTAGCGGTCTCGACATTTATGCATCGGCGACTTCGCCCACTTTGAGCCCTATTTTCGGTCAATTCCAGTGTACTAGTCAACAAAAATCATAACTATTTTGCTAGAACTCCATTTTTTCTATTGAATGAGTACAAGAAACCACCCATTTACTGATTTCAACTATCCAATAAAGTGGTCAGAAATTGGCAATTTTGACAATTGCACACAAATTTCAAAAGATTCCAATTTCCAAATAGGGTCCAGAATAAACAAGACAGGCATTCCTGGCACTAAAATAAAAGTTTCTCTGTTCACTAGTCATGTCCCCAGGCCTGTCTTACATCTCTTTTGCTTTCCACTTTGAATTTTTATTCTTACAAAAAATAGAAGATTTACTGTTACGCAGACTACTGCATTGGTGTAGAAATGGTATAAATAATATCAGCGCACTTGTGAAAGAATATTAGACTCGCCAGTTGACGTGTATTGGACGCGTAGCATGATTTGTTTACTTTTGAACTTTGGCAAAAATCGAACATTTCTGCTACTTTGAGCTCAATTTCAATGTACTTTTCATTGTGAAACCAATCAAAGTCCTCTCAATTTCTGTAATATATCTTCCATTCTATAAAATGAGACCAGGAAAACTAGAATACAACCATAAATACCATATGAAAATACAGTGCAAAGTCGCTGTTCTAAACCAAAAACACGGTCAGAATTTTTTTTTCTCATTATGCACTGTGTACTGCAAGATTTTTTTTATACTGTGCACACTGACCACACAGACCCATTCTTTCATATAAAAGCCTACCAGCTTTCTCTCGCTAGATCTGAAGGTGCTAGAATTTACGCATACTAGTACGTCAATAACCCTGGCGTGTAAGCTGTACTAGTTTGTCGAAAACCCTGAAAGGGTTAAAAGCCTGTTAAGGAATAAATTCCTCACTGTCTACATAAGTTTTAAATTTCTTAACAAACATTTCTGGCCTGATCTGTGTTAGCAGTGGCAGTCTCCCCATGCCTTACTACACTATGAATCCCACTTATTTTTTTAAACCTATCAAACAGCCCCTACTTGCCTTATATTCATCACTTTCAGCACTGTTTCCTGGGGTGTCTCCTGGAGTATACCTGGAGAGGGTTTCGGGGGTCAACGACCCCACGACCTGGTCCGTGACCAGACCTTGTGGTGGATTAGAGCCTGATCAACCAGGTTGTTACTGCTGGCCACACACAAACCGATATACGAACCAAAGCCCGGCTGGTCAGGTACTGACTTTAGGTGCTTGTTCAGCACCTTCTTGAAGACAGCCAGGGACCTATTGATAATCCCCCTTATGTATGCTGAGAGGCAGCTGAACAGTCTTCGGCCCCTGACACTTATTGTGTTGTCTATTAGCATACTAGTGGTGCCCCTGCTTTTCATTGGGTGGATGTTGCATCTCCAGCCAAGTCTTTTGCTTTCATAGGGAGAGATTTTCATGTGCAGATTTGGGACTTGTTCCTTGAGGATTTTCCAAGTGTATATTATCATGTATCATTCTAGCCTGCATTCCAGGGAATACAAATCATGGGACTTCAATTGCTCCCAGTAATTTCGGTGCTTTATCGTACTTATGCATGCCATGAAAGTTCTCTGTATATTCTTCAAGTGTACAATTTTGCCTGCCTGGAAAGGTGCCATTAGTGTACAGCAATATTACAGCTTAGAGAGAACAAGCAATTTGAAGAGAATCATTATGGGCTTGGCATCCCTAGTTTTGAAGGTTCTCATTATCCATCCTATCATTTTCCTAGCAGATATGGAAGATACATTGTTGTGATCTTTGAAAGAGATCTTCTGACATTATCACTCTTTGGTCCTTCACATTAGTTTTTTACTCAATTGTGTGGTTGGAATTTGTTTTATACCCCATTAGTTTTAATTCCCTTGAGTTTTCCCAAACAGAGTAATTGAAATTTGTCTTCATTAAACTTTATACATGTTTTCTGCAGCCTATTTAAATATTTGGTTTATGTCCGCTTAGAGACTTGCAATGTCTTCAATGGAAGACACTGTCATGCAAATTCAGGTGTCATCAGCAAAGGAAGACATAGTGCTATGACTTACATCTCTGTCTATGTCAGATATGAGGATGAGGAACAGGATGGGAGCGAGTACTGTACCTTGGGGAATGGAGCTTTTCACTGTAGCCACCTCTGATTTTACTCTGTTTACTATTACTCTTTGTGTTCTATTTGTTAGGAAGTTCTTGCTCCATCTACCAACTTTTCTTGTTATTCCTTTATCACACATTTTCTGTGCTATTACACCATGATCACACCTGTTAAAGGCTTTCATAAAGTCTATGTATACTACATCTGCATTTTGTTTGTCCTCCAGAGCATCCAAGTCCATGTCATAGTGGTCCAGTAATTGGGATAGGCAGGAGCAACCTGGGTTGTGTAACTGATGGGTATTGATGTGGGTGGCGATCTTCCTTCTTAGAACCTTTTCAAAGATTTTTATGATGCGGAATGTTAGTGCTATCAGTCTGTAATTCTTTGCAATTGCTCTACTGCCACCTTTGTTGAGTGGGGCTATATCTGTTGTTTTTAGTGACTGTGGGATGACCCCTGTGTCCATGCTCCCTCCCCATGGAATGCTTAAGGCACATGAAAGAGGCTTCTTGCAGTTCTTGATGAACACTGAGTTCCACAAGTCTGGGCCTGGGGAAGAGTGCATGGGCATGTCATTTATTGCTTTTACAAAGTCTTGTGGTGTTAGGATAATATCGGAGATTTTTTAAGTAACCAGATTTTGAGTCATGGTCATAAAAAATTCATTTAGATTGTCAACGTTTAGTCTGATTAACGGCTCACTAAACGCCGAGTCATATCTCGCCTAGATCACTATATAATCGCTTTGCTTTTTCACAAATTATTGTTTTAGAAAAATGAAATACCAAAAATGAAATACCAAAAAAGTTTCACAGAGCTTGTACAAATGATGCTTAACGAACGAAAGCTGACAAGAGACAGCACGCGATGCTTTGTTTTCATTGGACTTTGTCCAGATACAGTTTTGTTTAGGTCAAATATCAAGACAATATCCAAATACCAAGTCATATTTTTCTCAAAAAAGTTAGGAAATATCAAGTTGTATGAATATAAGGACATACGTACGAATATTGAGATTCCACTGTATGGTATACTTTATAAAAAGATTTGAATTTGATTGTAAACATTATCTAAAAAATGCTATTCATTTAAGTGTAAAATGATTCTGACATTAGCTCAAAATTCCTTTCCCTATATGCATCCTTACATGGGAAGCTAAAACAGATTTCTTTGAAAAGCCTTTTAAGCACTCAGAACACCTGTATGGTTTCTCTCCAGTATGAGCTCTCATGTGTGTTACTAGAGATGATTTTTTTGAAAAATATTTTAGACACTCTGAACAATTATATAGTTTTTCTCCTGTATGATATCTCATGTGTGATTTTAGAGATGATTTATATAAAAAGTTTTTTAGACATACTGTACATTGATATGGTTTTTGACCTGCATGAACTTTTGTGTGTGTTGCTAAAACAGATTTACACAAAAATTCTTTAAAGCACACTGAACAATTATAAGGTTTCTTTCCTGTATGAACTTTCACATGTTCTGCTAGAGATGAGCGATAAGAAAACTCTTTTCGGCACATTGAACACTGATAAGGTTTTTCCCCTAAATGAGCTCTCATGTGGGTAAATAAAACTGACTCCTTTGAAAAACATTTTTGACAGACTGAGCACTGAAAGGGTTTCTCTCCTGTATGAACTCTTGTGTGTATCACTAGATTTGTTTTACTTGTAAATTCTTTCTGGCACACAGAACATTTGTATGGTTTCTCTCCTGTATGAACACTCATATGCGCTACCTGAGCTGACTTATGTGAAAAACTTTTAAGACACTTTGGACACTTGTATGGCTTCTCTCGTGTATGAACTCTCATGTGTATTACCAAGTGTGATTTTTGTGAAAATTTTTTTAAACATTCTGGACAACTAAATGGCTTCTCTCCTGTATGAATTCTCATGTGCATTCCTAAACTTGAATTATTTTTAAAGTCTTTTAAACATATTGAACACCGAAATGGATTGTCTTCTCCTGTATGAGTGCTCATGTGTATTAGAAGAGCTGATTTACGAGAAAAGTCTTTCAGACACTCTGGACATTTATACGGCTTTTCACCTGTATGAATCCTCATGTGTACTACTAGGTTTGATTTTAAATTGAAGTTTTTTAGGCACACTGAGCATTTATAAGGTTTCTCTCCTGTATGAACTCTTGAATGCATCATTAGTAGTGATTTTTTTGAAAATGCCTTTACACAAACTGAGCATTTGTATGGTTTCTCTCCTGTATGAATTCGTGTATGCGTTATTAGAACTGACTTTTTTTTAAACTCTTTTGTACATACTGTACATTTGTATGATTTTTCTCCTGTATGAACATTCATATGTGCTACTAGATTTGATTTAATTGAAAAGTGTTTTTGACACACTGAACATACATATGGTCTCTCTCCTGTATGAACCCTCATGTGGGTTACTAAAACTGATTTGTATGAAAAGTCTTTTAGACATTCTTGACACTTATATGGTTTTTCTTTCGTATGAACTCTCATGTGTAATAAAAGATGTGATTTGTATTGAAATTCTTTGACACACATTGAACACTTGAATGGTTTCTCTTGATGAACTTTCTTCATATGTGCTGTTAAAGCTGTTTCACGCACAAAGTTTTTCTGACACAATGAACAGGAAAATGGCCTCTCTCCTAAATGATTTGTCATTGTTCCAATTACAAATTTTACAAGGTCTTTCAGAAACTTTGAACATCTATGTTGTTTCTTCCATACAGAATTACTATCTTATGTTGAATTAGATATAATAGCCTGTTAAAAGTATTTGGGATACTGTACAATAACAGTTTTTCTGTAATGTACAGTCTTATTATATTTTATCTGAAAAATACTTTGACACTAAACAACAGTATGCTTTTAAAAGTCTTACATATTTAGTACATATTTTTCTAGATTCAGAAAGCACTAGGTGTATTCTTTACACACTGAACTCTAACGAGCTTCATCTCCTGTAACTTTTGTAAAATGGTTTTATGAGAAATGGTTTTAGGCACTGAATACTAATATATGAACTTTTACAAAATAATTTTAGATCTTTAAACCATTTATGATTTCACTCAAATGCATCAAAGTATTAACCATGGAATAACTCTGAACAAAAGTGGTGGTTAACAAAATGTGTGGTGGATATAATTTGGTATAAAGAAGTCTGTAATAGTTTATAAGAACCTCTCTTTACATCTTGTCTTTAAAGGTGCTGAGGACGTCTTGCTGAAGTATACTGGTGCTAGTTCTCCTTATGTTGCTTCATGTGAAAAAAAATGCAAAAATATAAATGTCACTTTCAATATCTTTAGCTCAATGTTAATCTTTTATCTTCTCCCAATAATTCACTACTTAATGAAAGTAGGAAGTAGAGTGATGATAGTATTTTGTTAAGCAAGACCCTCCCATGTCCCAGGTGCTATATGGCCCTTACAGGTTTACCCATTTCCCATGAATATAATAATATTAGTAATAATAAGAATAGTAATAATTTAATAATAATGATAATTAATAATAATTTTATAATAATAAAAGTATTGTAATTAATCAATTCTTCATTTGCAACCTGTCCAACTGTACTTACGACTGTAATGTATTACCCAAGCTTTACTAACTTAAATTTTATTCAAGGTCTAGAATTAAGTAGTAGTAGGAATTATGATTAATGTACCTGAAATGCATTTGCATAATTAGTAGCATTCTCGAGAGCCTTATTTTGTTTCATATTTCATCTGTATTATAATATGATCAAATGCAATATGTAATCATTTTAAATGTATAACTGCTGTATGTGTATGGTTCTTTAGAAATAAATAAAAAAATTTAAGATTAGATTTTATTTTTCAATTTCTTGTCTTTTTTTTTAACACTGGCTGTCTCCCACTGACTTCCACCATCATTTACTCTATCACTGTCTTGCCAGAGGCAAGTCTGAATAATTACTTTCTACAGAAGGCTCTTTGAAGCACCAAATAGAATAGTAAAATGTCTGCATAACCTCTATAACACTACTAATACTCTTAGATCACTGTGCACATGGACACATGCTCTCACTGTAATGACTCGTGATAAAGGCTTCCAGCTTCACTTGAAGAACCTGGTAAGAAACAACTGACAAGAGTAAGTGACAGATACCATGGTTCATGGAACCCTTCATAGACAGTAGTGTTGCACTCTCTAAAACTCTCTATAGCAGTGTTCAGGATCCATGAGTTACTAATAGGAATCCTGCAAATAGTACCCAGATTCATAGAGGAGGCAGCTGAAAACCTTAGGGAGGATACTTAAAATGCAAAGCACTAAGACACCAAACTCACCTCTCAACCTGTGACATGGGAGATTTATAAAACAAACTGCTAGATAAAAACATCTCTGTGGATGCAATTGGATGTCTTAGGTAAATTATTATTATTATAATCAAAAAGAAGCACTAAGCCACAAGGGCTATACAGTGCTGCAGGGTAGGGAAGGAAGAGAGGGTATTGGGCGGCAGAAGGGAGGAGGGATGATCAGTAGGTTACAGAAAACAGCGGGGCAGGGGTACAGGGGTACAGTACAGGAGTAAAGGGTAGCAAGAGATTGAGGTAGAAAGGGCTGAAGGTATCAGAATTTGTGATGTAAATCAGTTGTTGTCAAAAAGTCAATTAGAGAGTCCAGATGAAAGGTGGGTCCATCAGTGAGAAGGGAAGGTAAAGAGAGAGCAGTGGAGTGAAGACGACGACGGAGGTAAATTCTGCGTGCTCGTTGATAAAGTGGGCAGTCCAACAGAATGTGGCTGACTGATAATGGAGCCTGGCAATTCTCACAGAGGAGCAGGGCGCCTCTCCATGAGATATCCATGAGTAAGACGAGTATGGCCAATGCGAAGACGGGAGAGAGTAGTCTCCCAACCTCGACACTGGTGATAAGAAGACAGCCAGTAACATATACTCGGTTTAATGGACTGAAGTTTGTTACCGAGCATAGTAGACCAATGTTGTTGCCAACGGGTGTGAAGGTGGGAAGATATTGCAGCAAAATAAGTCTGTAAATGGAATACCTCTACAGTGGACCCCCGCATACCGTTGGCATCACATAACGTTTAATCCGGATACCGCTCACTTTTATCACAAAAATTTTGCCTCACATACCGCTCAAAAACCCGCTCACCGATGTTCGTCCGAGACGCGTCCAATGTGCGCCCTTACCCAGCCTCACATGTGCCGCCGGTGGCATTGTTTACCAGCCAGCCTCTGCGGTAACATCCAAGCATACAATCGGAACATTTCGTATTATTACAGTGTTTTTGGTGATTTTATCTGCAAAATAAGTGACCATGGGCCCCAAGAAAGCTTCTAGTGCCAACCCTACAGCAATAAGGGTGAGAATTACTATAGAGATGAAGAAAAAGATCATTGATAAGTATGAAAGTGGAGTGCGTGTCTCCGAGCTGGCCAGGTTGTATAATAAACCCCAATCAAACATTGCTACTATTGGTGGTACAGCTGCTGCTGCTGCTGTACCACCGTCAGCTGCTGCTGCACTGTCAGCTGCTGCTGCTGCTGTAGCACCGTCAGCTGCTGCTGCTGTTGTACCCACCGTCAGCTGCTGCTGCTGCTGCTGTTAGTACCGTCTGCTGCTGCTGTAGTACCGTCTGCTGCTGCTGTAGCATGTCTGCTGCTGCTGTAGCACTGTCAGCTGCTGCTGCTGCTGTACCACCGTCAGCTGCTGCTGTAGTACCGTCTGCTGCTGCTGTAGCATCGTCTGCTGCTGCTGTAGCACTGTCAGCTGCTGCTACTGCTGCTGTAGTACCGTTGTTGGTGTGGCTTATTGAGAATACCAAGAAACAATTAACCCCAGAGGATTTGCCACCCAGGATAACCCAAAAAAAGTCGTGTCATCGAAGACTGTCTAACTTATTTCCATTGGGGTCCTTAATCTTGTCTACCAGGATGCAACCCACACCAGTCGACTAACACCCAGGTGAACAGGGAAAAATGCCTGGAACTAGTGCTCATATTGGTGAATTTAGAGCCAGCAAAGGTTGGTTTGAGAGATTTAAGAATCGTAGTGACATACACAGTGTGATAAGGCCTGTTCTGGAAGAAAATACCAACAGGACCTACAGTACTCAGGAGGAAAAGGCACTCCCAGGACACAGTGTCTCATCAGTCATTGCTGCATCTTCAATAAAGGTAAGTGTCATTTATTCTTCATTTAGTGAGAGTAGTACATGCACAATATATATTGTGCATGTACTACTCTACTATTGTGCATGTATCCTTCTCTTTGTGTGTAGGAAAATGTATATTTCATGTGGTAAAATTTTTTTTTTCATACTTTTGGGTGTCTTGCACGGATTAATTTGATTTCCATTATTTCTTATGGGGAAAATTCATTCGCATACCGATCATTTCGCATAACAATGAGCCCTCTTGCACGGATTAAAGTCGCTATGCGGGGGTCCACTGTATATTAAACTGGTAGGTCATGTACTGCTGACAGCGCAGCAGTGTCTCCCTGTTCATTGCCCTGTACGTCAACATGACCAGAGACCCAACAAAAAACAATATCTTTATGCTTCGTAAAGATGCGGCGTAGCCAAAGTTGGATACGGAGGACTGAGGGGTGAGGTGTATCAAATTTCTGTATAGCCTGTAAAGCGCTAAGAGAGTCTGAGACAAGCACAAATGATGACACAGGCATAGATGCAATAGGATAAGTGCTGCAAGGATGGCATACAATTCAGCAGTAAAAATACTAGCCGAAGATAGTAAATGCCCTCGTACGACGCTGTCCGGAAACACTGCTGCGAATCCTATGCCGTCAGAAGACTCAGAGCCATCTGTGTACACAGCAATGGCATGAGAATGAGAGTGGAAGTGGTCAAGAAAAAGAGAGCGGGAAGCGACCATAGACAGTTGGGCTTTCGAGCAAGGGAGAGAGAAAGAACAGACTCGAACAGCTGGAACTTCCCAGGGGGGTAGGGAAAAGTGAGATGCTACATGAACATAGAAAGGTGGTAATTGAAGAGAAGACAAGAGCGAATGAAGGCGAAGAGAGAAGGGACGGAGCAAACAGGGGCGGCGAACAAATAAAGAATGTCTACTAATATCAGTGACCATTCTATAAATGGAAGGATTGCGGAGATCATGAGAGCGTACATAGTAGCGAAGGCAATGGGCATCACGGCGATCGGATAAGGATGGAACGTTCGCTTCTGCATAGAGGCTCTCAACAGAGGAAGAGCGAAAAGCACCAAGGCATAAACGTAATCCTTGGTGATGAATGGGGTTAAGGCTAGAGAGAGTAGCAGGGGATGCCGCTGAATAGATCTGGTCACCATAATCAAGTTTCGATAAAATGAGGGTGGAATGTAGGCGAAGGAGGGTTCGACGATCAGCTCCCCATGAAAGATGAGCAAGGGTTTTAAGAAGGTTCAGCTGGCTGTGACAAGTTCCCTTCAGAGAGGTAATGTGAGGTTTCCAGGATAACCTACGGTCAAAGAGGAGGCCCAGAAACTTGACTCTATCACGTTCAGGGATACGGGAGCCATAGAGGTACAAAGGATGATCGGAGATGACAGAGCGTCTAGTGAAAGTAATTTGGTGGGTTTTAGTGCTGGAAAATTTAAACCCACATGTGGTGGCCCAATTAGAAACACGGTCGACCGCATGCTGGAGAGAAACTGTAATGAGGTGAAAGTCAGCGCCTGCACAGGCAATAGCGAAGTCATCAACATAGAGTGATGACCAAATATTTGATGGAAGACTAGAGGCCAAATCATTAATAGCAAGGAGAAAAAGTGTTGTGCTGAGAACACATCCCTGGGGGACACCTTCAGCTTGGATAAAGTCCAGGGAGAGCACATTATTAACCCGAACACGGAAATGTCTATCAGTTAAAAAGTTCTTAAGGAAGGATGGTAGATTGCCTCGGAGGCCTAAGGAGTGGGCTTGGGCCAAAATATTATACCTCCAAGTTGTGCCATATGCCTTCTCAAGGTCAAAAAATATGGCAATAACAGAGTGGTTATTTGCAAAGGCATTACGAACATACGTATCCAAGCATAGTAAGGGGTCTATGGTAGAACGTCCCTTACGAAAGCCATACTGACGAGTGGAGAGACTGTTGTGTGTCTCTAAATACCACACTAAACGTCTATTTATACCAGGCGTTCCATCACTTTGCAAACTGCACTGGTAAGAGGAATGGGACGATAGTGGGAGGCTTCATGTCCCATAGTATAGTACCCAGTTTGAGGAAAGGGAGAACAATGGC